GCAATGAACATCGGAGCACAGATGTCTGGCCTTGGTTTGTTTCTTGCCTCTTCTGGGTAGATGTCCACCTCTTTCTGCTCCTTGCTTCTCTTTAGAGCCCATTCTTCTCCAGTTTTTCTTTTTAAAAAGACATGCCAAGTTCTTTTTAGTTTTGACCCTTCCCGATCTATCACCTCTCCCCTCTCTTCTCTCCCTCCCCTGCCCCCCTCTCAGCTTTCTTAGCCATGGTCTCTAGGAGTGTAAACACTGTGAACTCTCTCCATTCACTCTCAGGCTCACAGCAGCTCTAGTTTTCTGTAACCTTTTCCCCTTGATTGCCTTGGGCACTCCGGTCAATAAACGCCGTGCCACCGAAGGGAGCATTCTGTTCTGCTTCTGCATCGATAGTGTTCTTTCTCTCTCCGGCATCCAAGAAAAATGGCGGAGTTTTCCTTCAGGACTTGGAAGGAAAGATTTGTTTTACTTCGGTAAAGTTCACCTGTCCAGGTGCTCTGTGCCTACTTCCACACAGAATAAATTCCTGGTAAGCAAGGAACTTTTGTCCTCTTACCTTGCTACTGGGGTCCTCCTGGACGGATCCAGCTCCCATGTGGGGTTCTGTTAAGTACTCCCAGCTCCTCAATATATTTTATTTCCGCTCTTTTCTGGCTGGTCAGATGCGATCACCCATTTTTCCCTTGGCCAACAGGAAAGCATTTAACAAGGTCTGCCAATCAGCCAGGTGGCGGTGATAAGCAGCGGATAAAAGAAAAAAAAAATCAGTCATTAGCAACAGAGTCTGCTCGATAGACTGGCAGGTTCTGTTTCTAGTTGTAAAAGTCGAGGCTGAAAGGGCGTGGGCACTCACTTTCTGCGTGGTAGCCCCCACGCCGCCTTGCATTTCCCAGCTTGGCCTTTTGCCCCTACCCCCTCTGCCCCAGGGCTCTGGCAGTGCACTCCAGAAAGAAGCGTTGTAGCCACCCCTCAACATTACAAGTCAATACTCAGCTCCCATGGTGTGCCTTCCAAGCCTGCTGGTGCCTGTTGTAGTGGTCGCTCAGGTGGAAGCAGCCTGGGAAGCCCTCAGATTGCTGGTCTCGGATTACCCTCCGAGACAGTACAGCCCACCAGAGAACCAGGACTACTTTATGCCCCACTGTCATTGTGGGAAGTGAGACCACAGTCACTGTCACTTCCAGTGCCCTCCTTGCTGGGGCTCTTTCCTCTTCTGAATCTATGGCCAGCAAGTGGCCAGGGAGCCACAGCTCTTGCGTAGTCATCGTTGGCAAACTCAGAAGAAACGAGTAACGCTTTCAGGGAAAGAGCCTTTAAAGCAAAATGAGAAACCAGGGCTCAGTCTTTTCATTGTTCCTGTCAGAGTCTCCAAATATTCCATACACATGTTCCCATTGCATGTCAGTCCCACAAAACAAATCCAGCTGCAATCTTATAATGACCAGATCGGTTTTCCAGCTCCGCATGCCATCTGGCGAGGAAGATGATTCATGTTAGAGTTCTCGGGAGAGAGAGACCTCGGGTCCTTGGCTCCAGGAGAGAAAGAATTCATGCAGAAGCCTGGCTCGTGATCCAAGTGAGTTTATAGAGAATAGAAGCAGTTCCAGGTCCTACAGTAAATGGAACACAAGCCAGACAGTCCGCGGCACAGTTGCGGGACCACAGCCCGCTGTGCTACATCGTGCAGCAGCCTCTGGGAGAGAGAGCGCCCAGAGCAAAACCTCTGGCTTTTCAGGGGCCCTGTTGGGAGGCGTGGTCGACAATGCTGGTCAACCCCATTGGCTGAATCAAATTCACCTGGCTTAGATGGGCCAATCCAGGTGTAACGCCCACCTACGTGTACCACTGCTTCCTGGCCGGAAGCTCGAACCTCTGAGCATGTGTAATGGATGCCCCAGGCCCTATGCTAGTGACCTAACAGTCATACTTTGGGCTCTTAAAGTTCTCATCACAATCCATCCATCCACCCATCCATGCATCCATCCATCCATCCATCCATCCATTGTGTCAAGCACCTTTATACGTATGTTGCCATCATCATTTTCAAAACATTTTCTTTCCACTTGAGCCCTTGCCATCAGCTCATCCCCCACCCCCATGGTTATACTTTCTTTCTTTTTTTTTTAATAGTATCAAAAAAAATTTTTTTTTAACATTTTATTAGGGGCTCATACAACTGTTATCCCAATCCATACACACATCAATTGTGTAAAGCGCATTTGTACATCGTTTCTCAAAACATTTTCTCTCCATTTAAACCCCCGACATTAGGTCCTCATTTTCCCCCTCCCTCCCCGCTCCCCCCTCCCTCATGAGCCCTTGATAGTTTATAAATGGGTATTTTGTCATATCTTGTCCTGTCCGACGTCTCCCTTCATCCACTTTTTGGTTGTCTGTCCCCCAGGGAGGAGGTCACACACAGTTCCATGTAATCGGTTCCCTCTTTCCTACCCATTCTCCCTTTACGCTCCCTGTTTTGCCACTCACACCACTGGTCCTATAGGGCTCATCCGTCCTGGATTCCCTGTATTTTCAGTTCCTATCTGTTCCAGTGTACCTCCTCTGGTCTAGCCAGTCTTGCAAGATACTTTCTTACAGCAAACATTTAACATTTTTTTTTTAACTCAGTGGGTTTCCATCAAAAATACTCCAAGGTTTCCAGAATCCTGTAGAGCTTCCTGACAGCACCCTTGCTCTGCTTCCTCTTTCAGCTTGAGCTACCCCACAGTCCCCTCATCCTGCCCTGACCGACTTCTCTCAGACTCAGGGATCAGCGGAGTCTGACACTTCCCTCGGTCTTACAGGGGCTCCCCGTTCCCTGTCCTAGTGTTTGTGTCAGTTCTCATTCTTCCGTTAGGGCTTGCTGCCTCGGAGTTCTGTCCTGTCCCTGGCTTCCTGGTCACCGGGGTAGAGAGAGGGCCAGCACCAGGGGCCGAGTGCACCTGCTCTCAGCCCAGGTCTATCCTAGAGCCCAGTCCGTGGGGACACGGGGCCAGGCCTACTCTAAGAAGCCCCATGTTGGGTGCCAACCTCGTCACCAAGATGCAGGTGTTTACTGTGGACCGGCAGAGCCAAGTTACTCACAAGTCCGAGGAAGAAATGGCACCTTTTATCGGAAGGTGCACAGCGGTGAGAAGACCAACCGCAAACAGCCTGCCGTTGTGTCTTGTTTGAAATCAGAATGCAGAGAGCGTACGCACCTCTTACTTGGGAATTGACACTCTGGGGGAGTCACGTGCCGATGTTTCACATTCACTCAGGTTTCGGGGTAACCACGGGAAACAACAGCCTGAGCAAGCCAACAGAGCAAGGCGGTCTCAGGATGTCTTTGCTCACTCACTAGGTAGCAGGGCCCGGCTTTTAATCACTGAGACTAAGGTACATAAGAGAGGACTCTCAGTGTCATCTGGCCCCTCTGAGGGACATCTGTATGCAACCTGTTTGTCTTTGAGCGACTTATAAAAAATTCCTCAGAGAGCACTTAGGTTAAGGGCCTTAAGCTAATTTCCAATTCTAGTTACAACCAACCAAAGTGACTTTAAAATTCAGTGGTTCAAAGCTGCCAGCCACTCCGAGGGAGAAAGATGAGGCTGTCTGTTCCCATAAAGATTTACAGTCTTAGAAACTCTAGATGGGGTGGACGGATATAAGTCAAAATCTATGGCCGTGGTTTTGGCTTTAGGTCTGGAATGGGTTCTAACCTGTGGTTTGGGAAGCACCACTCTGACCACGGCTGCCAATCGGCTGGGTCTGTCTGAGCAGCACAAGGGCCCCACGTGTCTCACACACAATGTACTGCCTGGTCAACCCCACAGAAGCACATCTTCAAGCCACGGCACTTTAGAGACCTCAGACCGAGGTTCACGTTCACGTTCACTGTCACGTTCACAGGCTCATTGGCAGAGCTCGCTGCTCTCCGTACCTCATCAGTGGCACCCAGCACCCTGCCTTCCCCACTCAGCCGTTGGGAGAACCCGAGTCACACTCGTTTAATCATGGAAGGTTGAGGGTGGAAGAGGGCGTGAGAACCACTGACTATCTCTCAGTTCTGTCCAGATGCCAAGCACGCACCAGTCTGTCTTCCCCTGGCTCCCACTTACTGCCTTTATGTCATCGTTAAGGGGTTGCTGTGTGGGTGTGTGCTTAGTACAAAGTCCAAGTTCAACTCTGAGCCCAGTGGTTGGCGGATGGCACCCCCTTGAGCAGTGACACAAAAGGGTGGGCTCGGGGGGGTGGGGGTGTTGTGCGTGTGCTGGGGACAGCACCTGGCACGCAGGGAGACACGAGATAGCCACAGCATTACTAGCTGTTGTCACACTAGTGCTATTCACCCTCTGTCCAAAGCAAGGAATGGACTTGGCCTCACTCTTCCCTGCTCTTTGTTCTTATTCTGACTGCCAGCGGGTCGGTCAATTCTGACTGGTAGTGAGCCCGAGGGACAGAACAGAACTGTCCTTTTGTGTTTTTAAGGCTGTGAAGATTCATGGGAGCAGAAAGCCTCATCTTTCTCCCAAGGAGCAGTGGATGGATTCGATCTGCTGGTCTTGTAGTTAGCAGCCAAACTTATAACTTGCGACCCCACCAGGGCTCCAGAAACACCCCCATGCCCGCCTATCCTTCCCCATGTCGTGTGCTTTCTCCACCCTTCACCTTCTAGGTGTTGCCCTCCTGATGCATGCTGGTTTCTAACGGATTGACGCTTCTCTGACCATGGGACCCTTTCGGACTGGACATTGGCCTGCCCACATGCAGGACCAGGATGGGGGTTGGCAGCTAGTAGCGCAGCCCAGGATTAGTAACGCCCACATCGGGGCAGATAGAGACCTGCAAGCAAGCCCATATCACAGAGGAAAGGGGGGCTCCCCTCTCTTCAGAGCTATTAACTAATATCCCTCAGGTCCAAAGCTCAGTAGTTCGAATCCAGCAGCCGCTCTGCAAGAAGAGCAGTGGCAGTCTACTTTCGCAGAGATTGTGGTTGCTAAGTGCCATCGAGATGGCTCTGGCCCAAAGCTACCTTGTGCACAGCAGAAGGAAACACTGCCCAGTCCTCATAATTTTCCTGTGCCTGAGCCCATGGCTGCAGCCACTGTGTCCATCCATTTCATTGAGAATGTTCTCTTTTACAGCCCCTGCACTTTACCAAGCATGATGTCCTTCTCCAGGGACCGATCTCACCTGACAATATGTCCAACGTCTGTAAGACAAAGTCTTGCCATCCTTGCCTCTAAGAAACACTCTGGTTGTACTTCTCCCCAAACAGATTGGTTTGCCCTTTTTTTGCAGGCCATGGTACTTTCAAAATTCTTCTCCAGCACCACAATCCAAATGCATCGATTCTGCTTCCGTTTTCCTTGTTCCACATCCAACTTTCACATGCATATGAGGTCATTGAACATTCCATGACTCGGGGCAGGAGCACGATCTAGGTTAGTCCTCCAAAGGGACATCCCTGCTTTACAGCACTTTAAAGAGGTCTCGGGCAGCAGATTTACCTCTACCGTGCATGGTTTGGTAGTCAATGATGGCACTATGACCATTGACTATGGATCCAAGCAAGACAAAATCGTTAGCAACTTCAATCTTTTCTCCATTATTCATACTGCTACCTATTGGTCCAGTGGTGAGGATTTGGGTCTTCTTTACATTGAGTTGTAATCCACACTGAAGGCTGCGATCCTTAGTCCTCATCAGCAAGTACTTCAAGTCCTCCTCACTTTCAGCAAGGAGGTTGGGCCACCTGTATACCGCAGGTTATCCATAAGCCTTTCTCCAACCCTGATGCCACCTTCTTCTTCATATAAGCCAGCTTCTCTCATGATCTGCCCAGCAAGCAGATTGAATGAGTGCAATGAGCGAGAAGATACCGCCCTGTCACACCGCTTTCCTAATTTTAAACCACGCAGCATTCCATGGTTCTGTTTGTACAACTGCCTCTTGATCCCTGTACAAGTTCCACAGGCGCACAATGAAGTGTTCTGGAATTCTCGTTCTTCTCAAGACTATCCATAGTTTGTTATGATTCACCCAATTGGATACCTTGGCACAGTCAGTAAAGCACAAGTAAACATCTTTCTGGAATTCTCGGCTTTCAGCCAAGATCCAGCTGACATCAACCACGATGCTCCTTGTTCCGCCTGAACCTCTGGCAGCCATTGAATGAACTGCTGCAGTCGTTGTTAGATGACCTTCAGCAGGACTCTATGCACACGTGATCTCAGTGATAGTGTTCTATAGAACGAAGGCAACAGCAGCATGCTGGAGGAGGGTGGGAAATGTCAACGAATAATCCGGCATTCTGGAAAGAAGCAGTCCGACAGAGGTCTCACTCATAACCCCCCCGAAGAGATTTCCTCCGGACCAGTGGTTCTCAACCTTCCTAATGCTGTGACCCTTGAATACAGTTCCTCATGTTGTGATGACAACCCCCCCCAACCATAAAATTATTTTTGTTACTACTTCATCACTGTAATTTTGCTACTGTTATGAATCAGGTGACTCCTGTGAAAGGGTCGTTTGACCCCCCAAAGGGGTCACAGCCCACAGGTTGAGAACCGCTGCTCTAGACTCACAATGGGAATTGTCTGACTCACCACAATGACACAAGAGAATGATTTCAATAGGCACCTCTGGGGGTATCCACTATCAAGCTTAAAGGGAGGAGACTGGGGAGTGCTGACCACTGAAGGAGAGAAATCCCTGGGGAGGAAAAGGCAGAATCCTGAAAAATGTGTGTGTTCAAGTCATTCATTCATTCATTCATTCATTCACTCATTCATTCATTAAAAAAAACTGGTATTCAAAACGAGACACTACTTTGAGAAGTTAAATAACAAATACTTCAAAATATTTTCCTAACCCCTTTCCTGTTAACTCCCCCACTTCTGCTCTCCTGGAAGAACCACAGTTAGCAGTGAGAGGTCATTCTTTCAGAGCAATAGTTCCGCACATGGTGAAAGACCGGTCTGTGGCATGTCATCAGAGCTATGAACCCTCAATAAAGTGATTTAAAAAAAATACAGAGATCACTTGCTTTTATCTGGTTTTGTTTTGCTTTTCTAGACAGTTCTGAACCTTACTTGAAGGGAGACATCGGACAGGGCAAGATAGGACAAAATACCAATTTATAAACTATCAAGGGCTCATGAGGGAGGGGGGAGCGGGGAGGGAGGGAAAAATGAGGACCTAATGCCGAGGGTTTAAGTGGAGAGAAAATGTTTTGAGAATGATGAGGGCGATGAATGTACAAATGCGCTTTACACAATTGATGTGTGTATGGATTGTGATAAGAGTTGTATGAGCCCCTCATAAAATGATTAAAAAAAAAAGAAAGCAAATGTCTTGAGAATGATGATGGCAACACATGTACAAATGTGCTTCACACCATGGATGTATGTATGGATTGTGATAAGAGCTGTTCGAACCCCCAATAAAATGATTTTTCTTAAAAAAAAAGAAAAGAAAATCTGAGGACTGCTGTCTCAGACCACCTACCACATCAGTAGGTGTCAATCCACTTCCGCCTTCACCGTTCAGAGAGGGCGGGCATGTGGAGCGTCCGGGCAGGTGGGGCAGCAACATCGCTTCCACGGGCCCAGCTCTGCTTGGATCATTGTCCAGGATCCAGTTTGCACAGCCAGGCCCAGCCTTGCCCAAGGAGGGTCCCACTTGTCACACAGCTGCCCCCTCACTGTGGTCACTGTGCTGGAGGGTCAGCAGGAACTGGGGAGATGCCACAATGGCCCAGGATGCTGGATCTGAGTGTGAGACCAGGCACTGAGCTGCCCCCGGAGTCAGAAGGCAGGTGCGCAAGGCAAGGCCTTTGTAGGCTTTGGGGCCTCTCCAGCACCACGGAAGGCTCTGCTCTCCCCAGGATGGGCCATTCCAGGTCCATTCTCGTCCCCATGCAACAAATGCCCCTTGTGTGAGACCAACGGGGTTACTGGGGCACCCCTGCTGTGGAGGACTGCCCCATGTATGAAAACACACAGACACGTCGAAGGAGAGCTGGTTGCGACTCATGGTGACCCGTGTGTTACAGAGGAGGAGCTCTCCCTGGGATTTTCTGGGCTGTTATTTTGAATGGAAGCAGAGTGGCAGGTGTTCTTTCTGTGGCTGCGCTAGTGCGTTTG